CATATATATATACATATATATATATATATACATATATATATACATATATATATATATATAAATATACATATACATATATTCATATATACTGCATATACAGTATATACTGCTTTACTGTATTTTTGATGAAAAAAAGGCAGCCTTTGGTCAGCATAAGACTACCATATGCTTAATAAAGGAAAGACTACTGGGATTAAAAGAACAGAATTTAAGATATATTGGTCTGTCACCATTGAACACTTTGAACTTGTACCTAAGACCAAGTAATTTCTGATCTATATCTTCTCAGGTTCACCTTCTGTCAGTTCCCCTTCATCCTGTCCACAGTGGTGAAGAAGGCCATAATCCAGAGAGACTCTGAGCAGCAGATGATCAGCATGGCCAGGGTGAGAGTTCACCTTCATAATGAGCTCTCACTATAGGCCTAACTAAAACTGTCTTAAGATGAAAAAGCTAGTCTCTGTTTGGGAAAATATGTGTTCTATTCCGAGAGTATTTTCTGATAACAATCCTAGCTTGGGTGGGGCGGCCATTCCTATGGCTCCCTCCCAAACATATGTGTCCAGACTGTAGGATAAACAGACACGTAGCTGGAGAATAATATCATCATGCACCGCAAGTAGACAGACGTCATCTGTCTAAGAAATATGTTACTCAGAAATAAGAAATATAGAGACATTGAATAAAACCTAGATGTGGCCATGTTCTGCAAACCTGTTTGTTGACTGACAAATGAATTCCTCTCTATGTCCAATGCAGCAAACCCTGGTGGACAAGGTTTCTCGCAGGCAGAGGGTGGATATGAGTCTGCTGTTTCTCAACATTAAAGTTAGGCGTCTGCACCTGGTCAGTGACTCACTGGATGAGGTAATACTGCTCGGTCCAAATCTGTAAACGTAGAATTGCGTCTGTTCCTGTAGATGTTACCAGGAGCTCCCTTGAACCATTGAACACTATTTAGCTCTAAAGGAGGACATACTTACAGTATGTATGGGATGCATTGCTCTATATAAAGTAGCACAAATCTATGTTTTGTTTTCCTAGGCTGAGAGGACTTTCAGCCAACAGCATGTACATTATGTTCTGGAAAGTTCTAAGTCTGGCTAAGACTTAATTTGGAAAAATGGCCCCTCCATAAATGTGTTCCTTTTTTAATAGCTTTCGAGAAAGCGAGCAGACCTGAAGAAAAAAATGAAAGTGACGTTTGTTGGGGAAGCAGGGTTGGACATGGGTGGACTCACAAAAGAGTGGTTTCTTCTCCTGATTCGACAGATTTTTCACACAGACTATGGTAAGACAGTCAGGACTAACAGTGCCAGTCTTTGACAATATACAGGTGGTAACCACTGGAAGAAAAAAAACCTGAATAAATCTGTTGTCTAAGCATATTTTTCTTGAGAGGCAAAATAGCAAACTATGTTAAGACTATTTAAATGTTTACTCTCAACATCTTAACAAAGATGTCTCCCCAGTAACAAAATTTAATAAGGTTTATTATAAAAAAAATAATAAAAAAAAAGTAGCTGAACATTAATATTCAAAACCATGATCAGCAATGCAGATATTGTGTGTACACACACACACACACACACACACACATATATATATATATACAGTATATGTGTGTGGTTGTATTTGTAGTAATAAATGATTTATTAATGTACATTTTCATACTCAAATCCCTTGATATTTAATGAGAGCAATCAAAAAAATGAGCATAATTCGTAACACTGTCTGACAAAAAAAAAAAAACACAGCTTAGAAAGTAATGTAAAGATTGTGCACCTTATGAGAGTAAAGAAACAGTAAAGAAACCAAAATAAACAGAAAGTAAAAGTGATATAGTTAGATTAACTCACAGTACATAATTAAATAAAAACTACCTGCACAGCAATCGTGCAGTTGCATAAACTAAAACTCTGTAGAAGGCTCCATTCTTATGTGGCTCAGAAACAGCAAAAAGTACAGTCAGGTCAAAACTCTGCAATGATAAGGGGGAAAAAATGAAGTAAAAAAAAAAAGATAACATTCAAATATTAAAATGTCTAGTTCAACAGTGTGCTCTAGTAAGAAAGTATCTTCAAAACTTCAAGTGTCAGACTTGAGTCGTCAGTCCTCATTTGCATCATTTATTTAGACAGTGGTGTAAATAAATAACACAATCAGTGGGTGCTGCTTTGTCTTAGTGAATAGTAATTGTGCTTTTCTGCATCTGTGTGTCATGTTGCAGGCATGTTCACGTATGTGAAGGAGTCCCAGTGTCATTGGTTCAGCAGCTGGAAATGTGACAACTACTCTGAGTTCCGATTGGTTGGAGCCGTATCCTTTCATTTCCCTGCAGTTTATACAGTATAGGTGGCCACGTGTGGGTGTGACAAACTTAAAATAGCACATAAATACAGAGTCAGCTCCCATTTGGCACATACATCTGACGTTCATTCTCATCCTTCTGTTTTCTGGTGGGAAATGTATTTTCTGCCACCAGTCTGTGCTGTGATGATGTGAAAATGGAGCATACACTATTTTTATGCCATGTGATTTGTAAATGGTTATAATGCAATATGACGCTAATGACAGATGCACAGATATAGTTATGGTTATGAAATGGTTTTGTAAGTGATGTGGTGCGTGAGCGGGCTCGTGTCAAGAGTCGAGAACTGCTCCATACGGTGCTCTCGGGAACGTGTGGGGAGAGACACAGTGGCAGCCAAAGCCTACCATGTCCTGCTGTTACCCCTCTAATTGCCCCCTCTGGCTTAGGCTTGTCAATGCATGTGGCTGCAAGTCCAGAGCTCGGCCTCAGAGCTCCCTCTCCTTCAGCACAGAATTGCTGTGTCACATCAGTGAAAAATTATGAAATAAAGATTCTTTTGTTTTGTCTCGTTAGGAGCAGCCAGGGCTTGGTTTGTGTTGTCTCATCGTTGCAGTCCTCATGGAAACTGTCCCGCCTGTCTGCTCTCTCCCCTCTCTCTCCTGAGCTGAGGACTTTTTTCCATCGCCCTCACTCCACATATGGAGAGCACATGGGGCTGAGTTGTCAGCTACAGCTGAAAGCACTTACGTGCAAGGCTCTTCACATTTTCCTCTAAATGTATTGTACACCTGTTGGGTGTTCTTCCATGCATCTTACTGTGCTGCTATACTGTAGGTGATGTTGCGATATTAGCAAATCTTAAATAACTTGTGTAAGTTGTGCAGCACTAGTGACCAAAGTGTTTCAACCACTCCCTTCATCTTCAGTTGGTATTAAATTTGGTTGCTCAAGCAGATTACAATTTCATTTGCTGCCACTAGTTGCACAGAAAATTAAGTTGAGATTAAAAGGAAGTAGTGACAAATCTTTTCTTCAGTATTATGACATACTTTTGAGTGAAAAAGAAAAAAAAATGTAGGCTGGGGGCTAGTTTTTCTATCCATCGGTTGTTGATTGGATGGAGGCAGCTCTGAATGTGAGCTTGCAGTCGATTGTAAGAATGGGGCAGGGTTTAAGCAGACAAAATAATTGGAGAAGTTCACCATGCATCAGAGGCATACAAGCCAGTAGACTTTAGTTTACGTTACAGCCATGAATCATTATTTGTTGCTTGGCATTGCTAGTCAAAAGTGGGTGGTTTTAGTAGATGGGCATTCTTATTAAAGAGAACACTAGTACATTAGCATATAGAGTCCTCAAAGCTAACATACATGCACTAAAAGGCACGAAATTTCAGATTTTATTTTAACGAGTTTGTAATGATTGAAATTTTCTACCTTGAAGGCGTAGCATAAGAATACAGGAGAATATGTGCATAAGGATTTTGTGTTTTCACATTGGTTGTCTGAAACCCAAAAATGCTTATATGTGTCCTTTACTGCCTATGATATCGCACACTCCTGTGCCTATACACTTTTGTTCAAAAGTTTGGGGTTGATGAGATGCTTACCAAGACAATATTTATTTGATCAAAAATACAGTAAAATAGTAATATTGTGAAATATCATTACATTTTAAAATAAATGTTTTCTGGTAAATAATATTTAAAAATGTAATTTACACCTGTGATGCCAAAGTGGAATTTTCAAAGCTGAAAAATTTCTTAATATCATCAGTGTTGAAAACTGTTGTGCTGCTTAATATTTTTGTGGATTTTTTTTCAGGATTCTTTGTTGAAAATAAGTTTAAAAAAAAGAGCATTTATGTGAAATAGAAATCTTTTGTAATATTATAAATGTCACTTTAAAAAAAAAAATCAAATGCATTCATACTGAATGAAACTATAAATTCTTAAAAAAAAAAAACTAACCCCAAACTTTTGAATGGCAGTGTAGTTTGGTAGTTAAAATAAGTAAACTAATTTGTAGATATGACTAAAAATCAATTCACCTTGCATGGTGATCATTAGACGTGACATTATGGAAAGCAGAGTATTACAGGTGCCTTCATATAAACCGCTGCTAGATCATTGGCCATCAAGCAGTGAGGAAGCTGCCTTTGGTTTCTGGCGCAGCCATTGTGTAACAGAAGGCTGGAGGTCTGTGTCAGGTCTGTGAATCCTTCCAGCTGTGCACACTTAACCCCATCTGTCAGCTCATGGGCTTGGCTGTGTATAACAGCATCACACTGGACATCCGCTTCCCCCCTTGCGTCTACAAGAAGCTGCTGACCCCGCCCATTGTGCCATGTGACCTCGACACCCCCGTCGGCATGGCGACCCTCACCCTGGATGACCTCCAACAGATTATGCCTGTATGTACACAAGCTGTGACACACCACATGGCATCATATTCAATCCTTCCAAATCTTGACGAACACACGTTTTTCAGTCACTGATGGGTGAACCTCCTGCTCTCACTGTGTAGAGTGGTGTTATTATTCCAATATAAAGTAATCCTGCCCCCCATATAGCATATATGTATGTGCTATTTAGGATGTGATGCTCATTATATGGTGACATTGAGCTCACTCAGCCATATATAAACAGTGTAGATGTCTGAGAGAATAACACTGAGTCAGAAATAGCCCTTGCATTATCTTTTGCACTTCCAGGGTGTCACACAGCCTTCACAGACTCAAACACTCCTGTTGTCTAGTCGCCTGGATGCAATTAATAAGCCTCAGATGGTGCATTGTCCTGAGGACAGCAGTAATAGCGTTGGCTATTGGCTCTGTTGGCTTTCAGCTCTGCTGATAAAGTCATGCCTGTCTTGTGAATCTCACAGCGGCCTTTGAAGTATCATGCTTTTCTTTCTTTTGAACTCCTTAACCCTTCAAATTCTAGTTTCTTGTGTTCTGTTTCAAATACAGCTAAATATCAAGTAAGAGTATCCCATTGCTGTTACTTATTGCTGCTTAATGAGAAATTATTATGAAAAAAAAAGAAGAATCAAATGATTGAATGGTTACAACTGATTTTACCATTCACAAGTTTATGGTCAGTACAATTTTTTTTTCAGCAATTGTATTTTATCTCACAGCGGCCTTTGAAGTATCATGCTTTTCTTTCTTTTGAACTCCTTAACCCTTCAAATTCTAGTTTCTTGTGTTCTGTTTCAAATACAGCTAAATATCAAGTAAGAGTATCCCATTGCTGTTACTTATTGCTGCTTAATGAGAAATTATTATGAAAAAAAAAGGAGAATCAAATGATTGAATGGTTACAACTCTGATTTTACCATTCATAAGTTTATGGTCAGTACAATTTTTTTTTCAGCAATTGTAATTTAATATGATTCAATTGAACAAAAAAGACATCTTAATGTTACAAATTTCAAATAAATGGTGTTCTTTTGATCTCTCTATTAATCAATGGATCCTAAAAAATGTATCAGTTTCTAGAAAATATTAAGCAACATAAATGTTTTCAACATTGATAATAAGAAGAAATGTTTCTTGATCAGCCAATCAACATGTTGGAATGAATTAATTACATTTTTAAATATGTCAAAATAGAAAATGTTTATTTAAAATTTTAATAATTGTTCGCAATGCTAATTTTGATTAAATAATGCATCATTGGTGAGAACAAGACTTATTTCAAAAAGCTTACCTAAAAAATCTACTCTAAACTTTTGAATGATAGTGTACAGTAGTTGACTTGTTTCGCTAACTTTAAACTAGGAGAAAACAAACATTTAAGTAATTGGAAATGTTTTACTCAAAACCGTCTAGTTAATGAGATACAGGTCTTGTTGCAACTATTTTCTGTGAGAACTTGTCCTGGTCTCTCCAATATCATGCGAGTCGTTTTTTGAAAATTGTGTATTATTAAACTTAGCAAGATCACTGGCAAAATTTTAAATACATTTAATTTCGAACACATGCGATAATAATGGCTGAATGGTTCCAGTGTACTTCAGTGTACAGTGTACTGTTTTCTTTTGGTGACAATGAGATGCCTGTTCAAATTCAGCCAGTACCTCTAGTATTAATGTGTCCAGCAGAGGGCGCCCAATATTAGCGTTTTCTTCTGCAGTAACGCTCTTTGTCGTAATATAGACTATTATGTATGCTGAAATTTAACGTACAAGAGGTTGATTGTATTTTGAAATACTAGCTAAGCTCCACTTTAATATTGAGTCCCCTTCACTCTCTTGTTACTGCAGAGTCAGGTTTAAATGAGCCAGATGTTCTGTTTTAACAGTCTCTGGCTTCCTCCAAACTTACATAACTGCCTGCGGGCGTTGTTTGCTTCCTTGTTTCAAACTTTTTTCCAAAGGTAATGTGGATGTGGAATCTCTAAAGCTACTTTCTTAAAATGAAAAACTAGGTTTCCGGAATTTTCATCAAACAGACACAGACATCTCATTTGCTACCATTTTATTAGCTGCACAAATTAAAAAAAAAAAAAAAAATGAAGTGCCGACTTTAACAGAATATATAATGCTCTCACAGTCACAGAAACCTCACATAATGCCACATACATGATAAAATCTTTATTTTTTTATACTCAGTGCATTTTAATTTTATTATGATTTGTATAGATAGTGTCCCTTCTCAAATGTGAGTTTTTCTGTGTGCATTTTAGGATCTTGCTCACGGACTTGGGGAACTCCTCAGCTATGAAGGAAACGTTGAAGAGGACTTCTATACCACGTTTCAGGTGAGTCCCCTCTAAACTCGACCTGCATCAGGATGTTTGCTCTCATAGACTTGTTTCCCGTTCCATAGTATCTAATAGATAAGTGTGTTTGCCTGATTGAACCAGGTGATAACGTCTGTAGATAATCAAAGCGGAGGTCATTTCTGTACTTGTTTCCTCTAGGTTTTTCAAGAAGAACTTGGAGTGGTCAAGTCATATAATCTGAAACCAGGAGGGGACAAGATCCCTGTAACCAACCTAAACAGAAAAGGTGAGAGAGTCTTCACTCTCTAGCTGCGTGCATGACTGGATTTTCCGTTTTCAACATGAATTATCTCATTGTGTTATTCCTGCTACTGAATGATTGATCTGTTTGTCCCTGCACAGAATACGTCCAGCTCTACATTGATTTCCTGCTGAATAAATACTTGGTAATTAAAAGGAATTCTGAGGGGAATACTCTGGAAGCAAGTAAGTAGAAGCCAAGAAACAGCTTGACATTTAACTGCAGCTAGTAATTTTTAACCGCTAGTGCTGTTGTGAAGCACAGCAAGCCCTGGAATATTCTACAAGTGGCTCTCAGACAGAGAGAGTTTCAGGGGCAGGAGAGAGGGCAGGGTCTGTGGGCCGTTTTGTGTGTGTGTGTGTGAAGGCTACATCTGTGTACGGGCTGTCCCTTCCCCCTCTGTTGGAAGGGTGCCCTGTAACTGGGCCTGCTTTGTTTGTTCAATCTCCATACCGTATCCAGGCTCTTCAGCTACTGGCTGGGAGAGACCTCAGACTCAAGGTTGTATAGAATGAATACATAGAAACCCCCAGAAAATTGCAAGTCTCTTGCCCTGCTTAGCATGTCGATTGAAATCTGAACAAAGTCTCAGTTTCTTACAGACCTTGCAAAGCTCATGAGTATGTCACTTAACATGGTCTCCTCCATGTTTAAACACAGCCAATGCTGACTCAATGAACTAACTGGTTTTAACTAAATTTTTTTTAATGTTTTCTTTTCCTTTAAACACTACACACAAGTTTTTCCATTAGTCATATTTGTCTGACTATGAAAAAGTATGTTGTTAAAAATAGTAATGTTTGTTATTACTAACAAAGTAATTACTCTCTAAGCTCTCAGACCCTCCATAGACAGCAATACAACTGCAATCTTCCCAGGTCCAGAAACATAGCAAGGACATCAGTAAAATAGTCCATGTGACATCAGGGGTTCAACTGTAATTTTATGAATTTCTGTATTTTATTCTTGATTATTGTTCTTTCAGACAATATGTAAATGGATTTATACTGTAATTTTATGAAGCTACGAGAATACTTTTTTTTTGTGTGCAAAGAAAACAAAAATAATGACTTTATTCAACAATCTTCTCCTCCTTATCCCGTCTGCAGTGGTGCGCCGCCATTGTGGAAAGAGTATCACGACACATGTGTAATAGGAATAATAATACAATATAATAAAATATAACTGTATAATAAACTCTAAGAGAATAATTATCATTAATAATAATGACAACAACAGTGTGATATTAGTTTTGGCTTAAATTATTCTTGATTATTGTTCTTTCAGACAATATGTAAATGTAGGTGTCATGTCATGATTATGAAGGTGTCATGTCAGTCTTATGCACACCCCTTCAAGTAAAGTGTAACCCTATAATGTACATTATGGTGGAAAAAATTGATTACTGTAATGTGTTTTTTTTTTTAATCTGCAGAACTTGAAGTGTTTTTGTTGTTGCTTGTTATGCATGTTGGTACTTGGTTGACATTCATGCAGCTTGCTAGTTAAGAGTTCTTAATTAAAATTCTTGTGTCTTAACACATGTTGAGGGAGTGTTTTAAACTGTGTGCTGGAATAGTCTGTGTAAGAAACCACATTTTTTTTCTTATTGCAAAATTTTCATTTGTAAGAACAATAGTGACTTGCAGCAAGCTTAAAATATGCAGGAGAGAGTGTTCAGGATGATGTTTTGTAGTTGCTGGTTATTTTTCTCTATGCACCAGGGAAAAACATAAATTACACGTTTGTTTATCTTAGCGATGATTCAGCCTCGATTTAGACTTCCCAGTATGGTGCTACTTCAGACTGCTCTCTTAATCAAGAAATGCACACAGAAAAAAGAAAAGCAGAGGGAGAGTAATTTCATCTGACCATTTTAAGGAATGTTCAGCCAGTGAGTCATTGGTTTCTCTCTGGGTTCACTGAACTGCACAATCACCAGTTGCTCTGCTCAGTTTTTTTTTCTCTCTCTCTCTCTTGCATGCTGTAGGATCAGCTATACATGTGTCCGGTTGATTATTTAAACAGTGTGACAGCGGTGAAGTAGCGTCACAAAGAGAATAGATAAACATGGTTTCAGACCTCCTCTGGCCTGATTCCACTGGCCATGATCAACTTTAGACCCTCCCCGTCTTTAGCGATTACGCAACAATTGACTATGTCCCTGGCTGCTTATGTAAGAGGCTCTGTAACGGTAATATCTGACTCGTTGGTCTTGGTGTGATGTGAGGCAGGAGGGGTGAGGTGGAGGGTTAAGGGAGGGGAAGGAGGTGACAGATTGGTTTTGACCATTGCGCATTGCTACCTATTCTGTGGCTTAAAGATCTATCTTTATCTTTCAGCCTTTCACAATGTCTGACTGTTTCTCAACACACTGCACAGCACAGCATGGTCTGTGAAAGTGCAGGGTGTGCCAACAGTTGTATTTTGATAAGATAGATATTTTACAAGGTTTCATACCAACAGACAGTAATTTTATTTTACTTTTAGTTTACTTTATCCTTGTCATCTTTTTCTTTTTTTGGCTGGGGGTAGAGGGGTTGGGGGTGTGAAATATGTGAAAAGCACAAATGCAAAACATTATGTTTAATATGCTGCTCTGACTGTGCATTCTAAATAAAATGTTTAAATGTTTTTTTTTCCAAACTATTTTACCAGGAATCTTCTGCTTTCATTTTTTCATTTGGTGTTCGATTCACATACGACTCAGACTAACAATTTTGGTTATTTTGTCATGTCTTGCTATTTTTTATTTATTTATTTATTTGCTATTTGTTAACATTAGTTAATAGATTATGTATCATAAACTAACAATGAACAATAATTTTTAAAGCATTTATTAACCTAGGTTAACAATAATACTGTTCACTATAATTCAGGCTTATATTACTGTTAATAATTCAGGCTTGTTCATAATGCACTACTATTCAAACTTATTCAAGAGATTAATACTTTAATTCGGCAAAGACATTAAATTGATCAAAAGAGACAGTAAAAGCATTTGTAATGTTACTGTTACGGGGCTGACAAGACGTGAGACGTGCGGATCCATGTGCAAGCTTTAATTCAAGCAGAGAGGTCAGAAACACAGGCAGGGTCGAACAAGGGCAAACAGGTATAATGAGGGCAAGACAGAAGAGTAATCCAAAACGGGCGTGGTCGATAAGCGGCTAACAATATCCAGAGGGCTTGACACGAGGGGTTATCCAATAACAATGCAAAGGTCCAGGCAGGGGCAAACAGTATCCGAACAGGGCAAGACGAGAGAGGTAATCCGAAGTACACAGGCAATAATCAGAAGACGAGGAAACAGACAAGGCAAGACTAGGCTAAGGCTAACGAAAGGAAACAGGCTCCGTAGAGTAGCTATCGCTAAGAGAGTGATAAACGCATACAATACTCGGCAGTGAATGGTTGTTTGAGACTGATTCTTATAGTGGGTGTAATGGGTAGCAGCTGTGTGTGATAAGTTTCAGGTGAGCTTGTGATTAGCGCAATGGAGCATGGGAAATGTAGTCCAGGGTGATGTGTAATAGTCTGTGTGGTGTGAGAGTCAATATAATGGGAGGGCGACCTCTGGTGGCAAGTGGATGGAAGTTCATGGACAGGATTCGTGACATAGCCCCCCACCAAGGAGCGGCTTCCAGTCGCTCCTATCTCTATATAATCCAGGAGGGCGGTGGAGCGGAGGCGGAGCAGGGGGAGGGACGGAGGGCCAGGTCCATGTGGACTAAAACCACAATTTTTTGAACAATGGTGATTTATAATGACTGTTTAAAATATATTAGCATATGTATAAATAGACATTAACCAAGACTAATAAATGCTGTAAAATTAATATTCATTATTAGCTCATGTTAGCTACTGCCAGTGTTAAACAATGTCCTTGTATGGAACTTGTATATAAAGTGTTACCCAAACATTGTTTGTTGCAAAGAATACATGCAGGTGAGGGGGCATAATTAAATGCATTTTTTAACATGCTATTTAAATGATTTTTTTTTTCCCTGCAAATATGCATCAACATAATCACAACAATGGTAGTACTATAAGGACTCATTAAATCTGTCATTTATGTAGCTTCTAAGGCCAGAGGAGGTTGAGATCCTGGTTTGTGGAAGTTCTAATCTGGACATGGGCTCTCTGCAGCGAGTGGTGCAGTATGAGGGCTACAGCAAGACTGACCCCACCATCCGGTACATGTCCTGTTTACAATTTTTTATAGTTATGCTCTTACATGCATATCTATCAGTGGAAATGTTACTGTTCACTCTGGTGTTGCAGTGCCTTTTGGGACGTGGTGCTGGCATTTCCTTTAGAGCTACAGAAGAAACTGCTCCACTTTACCACAGGAAGTGACCGTGTTCCTGTGGGTGGAATGGCCGACCTCAACTTCAAGATCTCCAAGATTGATGTCTCCACTGACTGGTAATCATCACATTGGCAGATTGCAGTGAAATGACTGCATGCAAGTTCATTCTCTACAGTTTATTTATTCATTTTCTTTGCAGGCTCCCAGTGTCGCATACATGCTTCAACCAGATCTGTCTACCTCCATACAAGAGCAAGAAAGAACTACGGCAAAAGTTAACTATTGCCATTTCAAATGCAGAGGGCTTTGGATTGGAGTAAATTACAGTTGTAGATCATTTAATCTGTGTTCACTGAAAGAATATGGGCTGTGATAGTTTTTTTTGTGTTTTTTTTAAACAACCAACAGGATTGTGCATCAGATTTGAATTGAGAATGCTTTTTAAATTCTAGTGCAATTACTTAATTTGAATTGTGGTAACAAACAAGATGCAGAATTGCTATTCGAAATTGTATGTAAGGAAGTGGAATTAAAATCAATTAAATATTCAACAAAATTATATATACACTGCTGTTCAAATATTTAGGAAATAAATTATAACTTTTATTCGGCAAGGGATGTGTTGATCAAAAGTGATATTAAATACATTTATAGTAATACAGTAAAGACAGAATCCTGAAAGAAATGTATCATGGTTTCTACATCAATATTAAGCAGCACATCTGTTTTCAACATTAATAATAATTGGGCACTTGGATCATGTGATGCTGAAGGCTGGAGTAATGACGGCTTTAAAATAAATGAAAATAGAAAACAGTTATTTTATATTGTAATAATATTTCACAATATTGATGTTTTTTTAAATCAAATAAATGCAGCCTTGGTGAGCAGAAGAGATGTCTTTCAAAAACATAAAAAAATTGTAGATAGATGATATATAGACATAAAATTTTAGTTAACTTGTTGACAAGGGTGAAAGAGCACTTTATTTCCCAGAATGCATTGCCTGTCTTAAATTTCTGCAGTAAATTCCACTTCTTGTCATGCCAATTCAAATTCCAATTCAGCTCCCTGTGATTGCGCTCAATTCAATTCACACTCACACTCACACTCATGAAGGAATTAGTAGAGAGACAATTCTACAATTCTGAGTTTTGCGCAATCCTGACAGCCACATCAGGTAAGCAGGAGGATAACGCACAGCAGTGATAATGTAAGCTCTAGATGTTTAAGCAGTAGTATGATGTATTGTGGATTGTGTGTACAGACTAGTATTAATTGTTGTGAACCAGGGTTCTATGAGGAACCCATTTAAGCTGTTCGTCTTTAGTCATTGTGTGATTTGCACACATCATTGCTGACTGTTTGAGTGAAGGACCAAACATTTTGTGTGGTATTAGAATATGTGGATTTATGGACAATATAGTGTAAATCTGTTCAAGAAGCTCTATTTTACTGCAATGTGAAATTAAAATGAAAATGTTAAGGATTTTTTTCTTCAACATGGGCCTGGTAATGTCCCATGCTCCTGTTAAAAGTAAGTCAATAAGGGGCTTGGTCTCAGCTAAAATAGCCTGGCAAACAGTCGGTCAAACTTGCCCAGCATTCTTAAAGAGACAGCGCTCTGTCTCCAGGGTTACAGGAGCCCACAGTTAATAAAAGCTCCTGTGTGAAATGTTCCTTACGCCACCTCTAGAGGTTCTGCAGCAGATTCATGCACAGGAAAGGCCTCAGGGACAGACTCATAGACAGGAAAGAGGCCACTGGGGCAGATTCATGGACAGAAGAGTCCTCTGGAGCGGACTCGTGGACAGGAGAGGCCTCAGGAGCAG